GTGTGGTCATTTCCGTCCTTTCAAGGTGTTGGTTATTCATTGGAGGTGCATCGACATACATGTAAATTATTCTAGTTCAAAGTTCGTAGAATAGTAAATTTTGTTGAGGCCCAACTTAGTGTTTAACATAAATGGATATCTCATGCTTTTTCCTTTTAACGTCAAATTAGATATTTAGATAAACTTTAAATATAGTTAATTTTTCCTTCGAATTGAGAAAAATGGGCTAATTCTGCTGTAGAATCTCAACTCACTGTGTACATATATTAGGTGAGAAAGTTGTTCCTTTGTTGAAGCAAGTGTTATCTGTTTGTTGTTTTGTGCTCAAGCGCTTGTTCTTGGAATGTTGGATCTCTTGAATTTTTGAAGGACATTATAATTGTTTTATGTACGATGTTTTTCCTCATTCAATGCTGGAGTCCTTGGTTGTTTCGGTTGATTCACCCACAAATATACTTGTTTAATGTTTCTATCCTCTTGGATGGCATGTTGGTCAATTGATATTATACATTAGGACATAGAGGTATCTGACAATAATCAAACACAGGTTTGTTTTCTACATCTTTGGTATGAGAGATCAATGTGCACGAGGATAGAAACATCAAGTATACTTTTGGGTGAATCAACTGAAGATGGATTTCACTTATGTTACGCTTGGATTTTAGCACTTGGCACTCCCTGTTCTTTGCTGATTTCATCTACTGCATGTTTTTCTGGAGGGTTGATGAAGTGTAATGAGAAATTATACAAGGGATATAATTGAAATATATATATATATATATACATGAATGGCACGATGCCACCATTTTTGATCCGTGGTCTTTTATGTTGGTAGAGTGGTTGATGAATTGATCACCTTCTGTAGCCAATTATTTATTTATTTATTTATTTATTTTTTTTTTGCCAAAAGAGGCCAAAGTCCACGATGAGTTATACGACTGGATCGATCTAGTAAGAATTTTGGTCATTTGGTCACCTAATTCCTTGTTAAATATCATCTGAAGTTTCTCCCATACGAGCCCATTTTGTAGCGTTTTTGTTTGCGGTTGTATATTATTGAAAGGGTTATTTACACGGAGATCTCTTAGAAAAATTAAAAGGTATCACTTTGACTCTCTAAATTATAAAAGCATACAAACAGACCCCTAAACTATTGGCATGTTTAGTTTGATATGTTCTGTTAATGGTCAAATTTGTATGTTTTTATAATTTAGGGACATTTGTACGCTTTTATAATTCGGAGGGCAAAGTGATACTTTTCAATCACTTTTTAATAATTTAGGAGGTCTCAGTGTAAATAATCCTTATTGAAAATTGATTCAAAAAAAGTTTTGCAAATTATTTTCAAAAACCATTGTTGAGGAAAATTTCTAAAAATAGCCATTTTAAGATTCTGTTAAACACAAGTAGAAATACAGTTACCAATTTGTAAACTAAATTTTATGGTAAATTATAACTTAACCCCTTGTGATTTATTTAAAAAACACGGAGCCCATCTATAGTTTCATTTGTAACACTTAAATTCCCTCTACTTCATACCAAAGTGTAATTTTGGACAAATATAATAAAAATTATAAAAGTCTAAATTATCCTTATTTATTTCTCTAATTTTCTTCTTAATACCATTACGAACCACCAGTCAACAAACTATACAGTCCGTTTGGTCTTCATAATGGCAACGATTGTATTAACATCCTTTGGAACAACACCTCCATAGTACATCAAGCAGCAAGCCGTATATTTCCCATGCCTTAGATCACATTTTGCCATCATGCTTGAAGGCTCAAACACTGAATTTGTGATCTCTGGTATAAATAGCAGCTCATGGAATGCTTTCACAGCTAAAATTACAAGGGCATACGAGGAGAGCATGAAATGTATATGGGGATATGGCACAAGGTTAACAATGTCCACATTAATGGCCCCATCAAACTTTAAAGAAGTTGTCAAAGACGATATTATTTGGAAAATCAATCTATTCAAATTGGTATAAGTTGGCTTTTCAATGTCTAGAGATCTCCGGCAGATATCGTAAATGACTTCATTGTCCAAAAGCACAGCCACATCTATGTGCTCAAGGAGAGAGTGCGTAGAAAGAACACTGTTATAAGGCTCCACAACTATAGTAGAGACCTGCAATGAACAAAGTCAGCTGCACCTAAATCAACATAACAGAACCATAGCTAGAATAACAATGTTTCTAGTCACAACTTTGATGCACATATTGAGCAAAATTCATGCCATTTTTAACAAATAATAATGCTATGACAGACGTCACTAAAATCAAGATTACCATAACAACTCCATATGAGATTTGTATGAGAAACTGAAGAATCTGGCATTGATAAGTTAACATGTAAACACTTGAGGAGAATGATAAATGTTGAACCCAAGCTTTGACTTACCATGACCACCATCATCACCACTGTGTGTGTCAATTTCCGACCACATTGCCAAATTAGTACTTAGCTGGAGAGCACCAGCAGAATAGATTAAGCCCGAACGACTTGCAATAGAAAGAAGAGATTCCGGCGGTGATTCGTCCACCCGGGGGCACTCCGACGATCTAGTCAGTTATCTCTCAAAGATAATCAAAGTGCTTAACTCACTATTTAGAATATAAATTGCATACCTTAGGCCTATTGGGGGTGCCTTTCTTTTATAGCTAACTCAATCCTAGTCCCAATAGAAGCCTAGCTTCAATGGACTTCAGCTCAGTGCTTATCTTGGACTCTCCAATAGATAAAGATAAACTCCCTAAGAGCTTTATCCTTATCCAGGCTGAGGTCCTTCCTTATTCTAAGACTCTTGTCCCTTATCCGCTTATTCTGGATTTCGATATCTTCGGAGATACCCTCGGCCTAGCTGAGCTCACCTCAGCATCACGACCAGGACACGTGGCACCTCGGCTGACACTTCGGCGTCACCTTGGCCACGTGTTAGTACTTAGAAAATATGTCCCCACAACTGCCTCCTAGGTTCTATTACCTTGGCATTCTCTAGGACTCTTGTCCCTTATCCGCTTATTCTGGATTTCGATATCTTTGGAGATACCCTCGGCCTAGCTGAGCTCACCTCAGCATCACGACCAGGACACGTGGCACCTCGGCTGACACTTCGGCGTCACCTTGGCCACGTGTTAGTACTTAGAAAATATGTCCCCACAACTGCCTCCTAGGTTCTATTACCTTGGCATTCTGAGGTGATGGAACCTATATCGTCATATTGTATAGCATATCGGCTATCTTGCTGTATCATCCATTTACCGAGGTCATAATACGTCGGCTTCACACGACCAGGTCTTGTAGTCTATCTCATCAAGGCTTTTAGAACCAATAACCTAGTTTATTCGAGTTATTTAGCCGAGATATTCCTACCAGCCGAGGTCACTGCGTCATTAGACCAAGAACTCCAAGAGTTTTATCACGCGTATGAGTTATCACGCAAAATAAATCAACTGTTCTTGCTATGCGTCTCTTTCTCTTTGGATCGTACTCGATACGCGCCTGTAAGTCGAATTGCTCTCGCGTGCGCCGTCTGACACATACGTCATTTTAGGCACATTAATTGCCTTTTTGCCGTCATTTTTGTGTTTAGACAAAACGTCCTTCCTCTCTCCGTCTGTTCACTTTACACCATTGTTTCTGAAGCTTTTTTCTCTTTCTAACTTTTTCTCCAAAATCTGCCATTATTCAAGCTTTCCTAGCTCTGCAACTTGCTCCATTTACCTCATCCGGCGTGATTTTCACCGCTCTGTCGTTTTTGCAACCGTCGTCTGACTTCGGTGATCCTCACATTGGCCTCACTTTTTCTGGTAAGCCACTGTTCTTCCTAGTTTCAGTTCTTGATTTATCTCGAACTTTGTCATTTTTGCGAACTTGTCCATGTCTCTGATCGTTTAATCTATACCTTGATTACTATCATGTGTTTGAGTATGTTTACTTCGTGATTCTATTTTTGCCCAATCCTTTCTTGAATATTCGCACACTGCTCACAAATTTATTCACTTTTGCCACTGTTCTTGGCCTCGTACCCTTGTCCATACTTTGTCACAGTGTTCTTGATAGTTCATCATTGTTCTTGATTTTGAAACATGTTCTTGTTTTCTGTTTTCTGTGTCTTTTCCAGATTCGTGCCTTCAATCTTCATTTCTATAGATTTAGGTTTGGGATTTGCTTGTAGAACCCACAAATTTTAGGAAAAACTGAAACACATTCCCCTTTATATCCTCACAAATTCTTACCCCAACTCAAACTTAGGATTTAGCCGAGGTCCTTAAAAACCGTCATAAACACTTCCTTTTGAAATCCTATACCTTCCCCTAAAGTTGACATCATAGGTATGTGGAAGCATATGGTAGACACCCCGACCAAGTTAGAATACTTTAGGCGGGAGTTTTTTTATCCCTGCCGACGTCCACCTCAGGTTGGCAGGGGAGAAGGACTCCATTATGCCCGATGTGAACCTTATGTCTTTCCCAGTAGTGGCCTTTATCGAGTGTGGACTTAGGTTTCCACTTGATCCCCTTTTTCGAGAAGTCCTCCACTACTACAAATTAAACCCAATGCAACTAGCCATCAACTCTTGTCGAGTTACTAATGGTATAATCACCCTAGCCAAGAATGAAAACACTAGGGTTACCCTTGCCGACATCCAGTATTGCTACACCATGTGTCGCCTGAAATCGGAGAAAGGCCACGTCTATTACCTCAAGCCGAGGTCCACTGAGTACAAGCTCATTGCCGACCTCCCAGACTCAAACAAGGGTGCTGAAGACGATTACTTCATCGTTTTGGGCAATTGGGAGTTTTAACCAAACGATGACCTCTACCTTTATCCTTTAAGCCGATCAATTTTCAGAGAAGGGGACGGTAAGAGCCAAGTGTCATTTTTCCTTACTCCACTTTTTAAAAGTTTTTCAATACTTTATTCTAACGTCTGTGCTCTTCTTTTTGCAGTTCTTCCCCAGCCACCAAAGGGCTTTCGCAAGTCTTTCTTCTCCAGCTAGGACTTGAAGAAGCTATTGGATTTTCCCATCCACAAGCGGAGAGCCCGTCTGCTACTCAATTTCATTTCGACCTACTAGTCGGTTCTTCCTGACGTCCCAAAGAAGAAGAAAAGCCATTCTCCCCATTCCGCCACAACTCCTTCAATAGCCTCCTCATCTCAGCCAGATCGAGGATCAACCTCTGATCCAGCAGAGCAACCGTCAACCTCGGCTCCATATATGATCCCACCATCTCAACGCCAACGCCGCCGTAGAACTGCAATTTTCGCTGAGATGGGTTGCAAAAAAGCTGTCGCTGACGATCTTCTAGCAGACATCCCTGACTCAGTTAATGCTCAACCAGCACAAACCCAGCCTCAACCAAAGCCAAAGCCAAAACCTCTGAAGAAGGCTCAACCCAAGG